ACAAAAATGGTAATTATTCTAATATAATAACTAGAGATTGCTATTTCGTCACATATTATATTTTTTATTTTGTGAAACATTATTGAATGATTATCTCGTGATATGTAAATGATAAATGTACATACTCCTCAAACTCTAAATTTTCTTGATCAAATTGTAGTGCAATTAATCAAAGGCTACAGAACTCATCAAAAGCTTTAACTATCATCGCTTACTTCTTTTTCTAATACTAACAATGAATAGCAATGAGAGAAAATAAATCAGAGTGATAACATGGTGTGAATGAAAATCACACATGGTCTTGTAATTTAATTACTCTGCAATTTTTTAAAAAAATAGTTGCTTCATGACCATATCAAATCCTCTATAACAATAATATTTGCAACAAATGTGACTTTTACATGCCTAGCCAGCATAAAAAAATGGGCATTTGGTTCGAGAATTAGGACATTTGTTTAGCTTGATTTTTTATCTCTCACAATGAAATCGAATGTTTTGCCTTCTTGTTTTGTTCTCATGCTTTCGAAAAAATTCAGTTTAATAAATTCTACTATCAAAGCTCCTTTTGCAGTTTGTTATAATTGCAATTATTTACAATCGCAATATCAGCAACTTGCAATTTGCATAACAATTACAATTATAATTATAAATTACTAGAAAAATGAGGGAATTGCCTTTTCAAGGAATCAAATGGCAAGAACCTGCACGATCAACTCGAGGTTTAACATAAAAAAATAACATCCAACTAAAATGAAATAAGTTGGGTGATACCGTTTTCATTCATTACGTGTATATTAAAATGTTAAATAAAAATACGACTGTTTGTTTTTGGTTATAAATAAAGGTATGCTTATTTCGATGATAATAACAACCAAATATTTCGGGTATAAATAATTTAATATTTAATAATGTTTTTTCAACTTTGCTATATACACGAATTTTCTGCACAAATCCTGCTAATAGATTATTGGCTGCCTTTAATACACAATCACTCGCACTCAATTTCCTTACACTGCACATAATTAAACCCCAAAAGTCATTAATATTGCCTTGCTAACTTGTCTATATCACACAATCTGATTTTAGTTTTGGTATGGGTGCGAGTTTGAATAAATGTGTAACCTCAAAAGATAAAAATTTTTCTATATATATATATATATATATATACACCTCTAAAAACACATGTGTATTGTGCGTGAATGTTAAATTTAAAATTCGCGCATAACATAATATGTATATTTTAGAATCTTATGATACTGAATGGGCAAAAAATGAAATAAGACACCAGTATGATATTCTTTCATCTCAACCGCTAGAGACAAAAATAATAACGGTGAAAATGATATGATTCAGGTAATGATGAAATTGAAGAAAATGAAATTGATAAATATTTGTCTTCAAAAAGTACAAAAGGAATTGAATTTTAGAATGGTGGGAAATCCATCAAGATCATTACCCAAAACTATCAATATTATGTTCTTATTATTTATCAATTTCTGTTCCCAATGCACCCAGTGAAAAGGAGTTCAGTGCAGCTGGCTTGAATGAATTTAAATCTAGAAACAGTTGATAATATTCGTTATTTTTTAAATATTACTTTTGTTGATAAAAAAAGATGTGGGTAAGTAATGTTGTGTGACGAAACAATTTCGTCAAATGCGCTAAAAAATGATAAAAGACTAAACCCTTGACGAAAATCAAAATCTTAACGAAAGTCAAACTCTTGATGAATGACTAAACGAAAATCAAAATCATTAAAGTCATTGGCAAATCAAGCAAAAACCAGATCTAATTTTATTAAAATATATTTTTTATGTTATCAACTAACAATTATTTACAACTTCATTATCAACATTTCTTCTATGTAAATTATGCTGCTTTTTCTTTTTGATATATTGCTTAAATTGCAATTATCATTATCTATGTTAACATCTTCTAAATTACAATCTTCACTTTCTAAGCAATGATTGACTCTGTTTCAAAATTGTCATTATTTTCAATCTGTAAACTTCCATTTCCATTTAGAAACACTAGATATTTCTGTATACAGATAAAACATTCCTAGATGGTGATTGATAGATATGCAGATGGAGTTGTTAAAGAAGATCTATAAAGTATGAATTACTGACAACTGAAAAAGAAATTCCACAGCAAACAAATGCTTTGATTAATGCCCAGTTAAATAGAATCATTGCATTCTTTTGTCAACAATGTGTTTTCATAAAAATTTGAAATTGATTGGTTGAGTTGATGATGATTCTAAAATTTCATTATTATTATCATTGTTTATTTGTCTTGGACATTCTCTTCTAATTTCATAAGTACAACCAGGATAATAATTTGATAAAAGCTTTTGTGTGGTTGTCCACAATTAAACTTTTTTTGTACAATACTTGCATTGTGCAGAGTAATGTCATTTAGATTCTTCTTATTTTTAGCAAAATGGATCCACACATTTGAGGAAGGTCTACCTATATACCTATCAAATAATTTATTTTATGGACCTGACCTTTTTTTTTAACACTAATTCTTTTTGCCTTAAGCAATATCATCTCACAAACTTACTACTGGATGTAAAAAAGGGGGCAGAAGTTGCTAGTACTGTGATTGTAATTTGAATGATTTATTATTATTACAATTGCTTTTATAGATTATATATATATACACAAAACAAAAAAAAATTTCAATTTTACTTTTGTCAACACTTTTCACTTCGTCAAAATGACCCTTGGTGAGAAAACTACCTTTAGTCAGTACTTTCGTCACGTCAATGACTAAAGTCGATTAATACCTGCTCCCTAAAATAGCGAGGTATTTTCCTTAGAATCATATCCACGTTAATATCTATTGTCCATAGCATACCGTCGACTCTCTGTCTCGATATTCTCTTCAAGGAATTGACTTCTATGTGATAAGATAATCACTATTCTCGCTGACGATTCAAAAGGAAGTTGAGTTCCAGGCAGAGTAGTAGAACCTGCCCTAGAATTTCCGTGTTTTTTTTTTTGAGTGGAAAATGTGGTTCACATTATATATTATATTCGTAGATTCGTGAAATGTCTTAATTATAAAATAATGAAAGTTTTAATTAATGTCAGGAAATTTTTTTGACGCGAATTTATGCTACTTGTGTAAGTTTATGTTATTGAATTTTTATCCAAATATCACATAGTAAAACTTGCAAGCGCAATATTACGGCGGCGGGAAAATTTCCTAATGAATGTTAGCGAACATGCATTGTAAAAATCTAGTAATTTGATGAATGGCGGACCCGCCATACTGTCCTGAGACATTCCCTATATTAAAATCAATGATGTGTTTATTTATTTAAAAAATAGAAATGTAAAAATAAATCCCATAATACAACTCCCACAATAGTTTTAACACATTGCGTTTCGCGATAGGCAAATTTGTAAATCGATTAACCTCCCCATAATAATAACTGATTTTGCTTTTTTTTTAACTACGGGTAATTTTACTTTTTTATTTTTTGCTAATTGTTCTTGAGCGATGCAACTCATTCATTATAAGTTGATCCTTTATTATTATGAGTCAAAATTGTGTCAATTTTGATTAAATTTTGGGGTGGGGCGTTTGGATACAAAATTCTAATTTGAATTTCACGCGTAAATTGACAAATAATAAGAAGATGGTACGTTACAAGGAAAGGATTAATACATAGAAGATACATGCATGATATTTTATGTATTAAAATATAACAATAAGAGCAACTGCGTGGGTGGCATTTATGAGCATTCCGTATCCTTGGTTCAGACTCTCGTTACTTTTTTATTGTCGTTGTTCTATTTTCTCCTTCGTCATATTGATCCTCCATCTCTTTATCGCTTCTATTATTTTTTCTTGAACTGGTTTTTTATCTTTTATAATGGAAGAAACAACAATTCCTTTTTTTCTCTTGCAAATTTCAGTTACGATTGATTTTATTAAATGAAAAATCCAAGTCCTGCTCGGCCTTTTTCTTATTATTTATTATCAAATAAACATTTAAACTCTTGTTTACTAATTAGTTTGATTGATTTTTCCAGGCTCCAATGCATCAATTATTTCATCGATTTTTTGGTATATATTATAAAGCTGATTCTTATAATAAAGTGAAAAAAGTCCAGCTAATGATCCATAAAAATTTCACTTGTAAATGTAAATATTTATTAAATTTACCGATGAAGAACAAGCTAGAATTATGAACGTTTGAGTTTAATTTGTCTATCAAACTAGGGTTTGATTATTTACAGAACACATTAAAACAATAACTTTAATATAGTAAGGAATAGAGTATTGTAATGATATTTTTTTCTGTGAACAATTTGATATATATAATAAGAATCAATCAAGTTGGAACGTTTATTAAAAGGGGGAGAGAGACATGATTCAGCATTCAATCGTGTGATACATGTTTTAAATATGTGCATTATGTTCATCCGATTTGTCTGCCTGCCTCGTATATGGTAATAATAACAATAATATAATAATAATAATAATAATAATATTAACAATAACAATAATAATAATAATAATAATAATAATATAATAATAATAATAATAATAATAATAATAATAATAATAATAATAATAATAAATACATAGTGAAATAATAAATATGCTTTAAAATTGTTGAATAATAAAAAATATATAATGAATGATATTGATTATCATTATTATTATTATCATAATTATGATTATATATTTAGTATTAATATAAATTCTTTAAACATTAAGTGATAATAAACGTCCCATGATTACTCTTTCTTCAAATCATTTTTTTAATCTGTATGTATATTAATAAATAAATAAATAAATAAATAAACCTAACCCATATTTTCTAGTCGATCTTCTCTCTAACTCATAAAATTTCTAATCCACCAGGGATTATTTTATCTCAATTACTTAATATTTTTTTCTATAAATCTAGATAACAACAATGATAATAATAACAATTAATGTAATGTACATTGAATGTGTGTATGTATATGCGTAAATTATTATGAGGAACTTGAAATAGGTTCCTTTTTATTTTTAGAATTTTGGCCATCCATAGCCCAAAAGGTTTGTAAGGTTGTTAAATCTATATATATATATTATTTAATAAATTTTTTAGAAAACATCTTATTTTCAAATTTTATCAAAAAAATTAAAATTAAATGAAATTGACTATTTACCATCATCTGGTAAAACAACACTTGTTCTTTTATTATTTGATGATTCTAAAAAAAAAAATTTCATTATTATAAAAATAATTAAAAATATTAATATTTATCATTTATATTTTTTTTTCACCTCCACTCACCTAATTTTGAATAAATATCATCTCTATTGTTATTGTTATCAATCCGAGTAGATGTAAACGAATAAACTAATAATAATAAATAAAACATTCAATGTGTATTATTAATACATACATACACATACATATCTATATATTTAATTTAAAAAATTTAAAAAAATTTACCAGATGATAGTGGACGATTCAAATCAGTGTGCTGATCGAGAATTCCAAGAAATGATTGCCCTAATGTGATGATGACAAATAAAAATTAGTACGATATATATATATAAGAAAATTATAAATATTTAACTTACTTTCAGGAGAATCAGAATAAATATAATCGTTAGAGGCATCAAGTTTGTCATCTATATAAATAAATAAAATATAAATAATTTGTAAGAAAAAACCCTATTTATTCATTTATTCATTAGAGTATTTATCAAATTATTATTATTTACTTGATGAAGTTTGTGGTGAAACACTTAAAGATTGATGTTGTTGTAGTTTTGTGTTTTTCAACTCGGGAAATTCCAATAAACGGCTATAATATATAGCTTCTGGATTTGTACGATCATTGCCTGTATTACTAAATGATGATATTGTTGATCCGCCCGCTTTTCTCAAATGGTCATCAAGTGAATCATTTACCAGCCAATGGTAAACAGTTTTTAGGACATCATGTGCATCAGGACGTTTATTAGGATTGGTGTCCCAACAACTGTTCATAAGCTTTGAGTAGAATTCTGGTGTACCAATCGGAATTGGAGGCCTTTTACTATTACAAATATCTCTTGCCAATTCTAAATTATGAGCACTATTTGAAAATGGCCTAATCCCTGCACTAATTTCCCACATAATAACACCAAAACTATATATATCTGCTTTCTTAGTATATCCATAACCTTTAAGAAGTTCTGGTGCAACATAAGGAAGCACTCCATAAATTGCTTTTTTCTTTCTAAGCTCTTTATTAGCCGGGCCACACAATCCAGTATCGGCAATCACAAAATGTGATCGATCAACGTTTAATATGTTGCCACTATGTATATTGCCATGAATAAGATTTCTTTTGTGCATTTCAGCAATACCTCTAGCAATTTGTTTGAGTATTCGAATTTTTTCTTTCCAGGTAAAAATACGAGTTCTCTGAAGGTGTGAACGTAGATCACCAAATAATGCATATTGCATAACCATCATAAATTCACGACTGTTTGGTAATTGTGTTATACCATGGCAACGTAAAAATTGAGGTTGTGAAAATAAACACCAATGTGATTTTATCTAATTATTTGAGTGGTGAGAGAAAGAAAAAATTAAACTTGTATATATTATATTTTTTATTTTTTTTTTCTAAAAAAATTTATTTATTTATTACAAACCTCGTCTAAGAAGTCAGTACTGAAATCTTGAGATCCATCTAAACATTTCAAAGCAACAGTTTGACCAGTATTTGTCCACATTGATTCATAAATTGCTGAGAATCCACCACGCGAAACAAATTTCAAACCAACAAATTCGTCAAAAGGTATCCATGACAAATGGTGTGATGGAAAAGGAAAGTCCAATCTAATTCCTTGAATCAAGTTATCAACTAATTTATGTCCGCTACGCCAATCTTTACGTTGTGAACCAACACTACTTAATCTATTACCACCACCATAATTACTAATTCTTCCATTTGTCGTTGATGGTATTGATAATGTTTGTGATTTTAAACTTAATGTATTATTATTATTATTAATATCACTATTATCGTTATTATTATAATTGAAATTGTTGATGTCTATGTTATTAACATCGTTAGCTGTAGATCTAGTACCATTGTTGTTGTTGTCATTCTGTCTTTTAAGATTATTTCCATTACTATTTCTAATATAACGTCCTCTTGTTTTTTTGCGTTTTTTCAAAAATACTTTACGAAATATTTTCCTTAAAGAAATAAACATTTTTTGTTGTGTGAATGTGAGTGTTAATGTAGTCGTTGAAATGTTTAAAATAAAATATATTGATGTGAAAAAAATAAAATCAAGATTTCTATTTCGATATCAATATTTTTCCTAAAATAACTTACTGAAGTACAGAAGTACTACTCATCATATAAATATAAATTAAATTTTCTTTTTGCAAATTATTTTTTTTTTTTTTTGCAATTTGTAAATGCAAAAAAAATTTTTTTTTAAATAATAAAAAATAAAGTTAAATATAAAAAATAAATTAAATTTCTTTTAATTGAATTAATTTTTAAATTCATTGTTGAACCAAATAGACTTAGTATTAGCAGATTCGAAACGTACGGAACAACCAAATTACAGGGATCGAAATCACTTATATTGGTAGTCGTACAATCGTGATGTTAAATGCTACTCGACAAACTTCCATATATCCAAAAGCGAAAATTCATGCTGCTGATCTTTATTCAGATCTTTCCTGGTTGAAGACATCAAACTTTATTTGACATTAACAGGATTAGATGCAGACCATTTAATTTTTTAAAACAATTTCTCAAAATAGATTTGAAAGTATTAAAAGCTTTTCCTGCTTCATAGCATTGAGTTTATTCAATCCTGCAGGACTAGATCTTTTCATAACTAACGAAATTAAAAATTGCTATGACAAAATTTTAAATAAAACGGATTTATCGAAGTGCCGTCCAATCCGTATATTAATATCGGACATGTGACTAGTCTCTTTCGTTTTATTATATTTTATATTTCTACATTTATTAATGATATTTTAATATTACAAAGATAATTAATTTTAAAAGAAGATACTTTTTGACCGAGTGAATTTTTATTTATCGGGTAATTAAATAATTCTATAATAATAATTAGTGGTTGGAAATTAAATTAAATTATTATCCGTTTGGTTTTCGCCCACAATTTAATTTAAGTTTTCGCCAATTTCTCAGGAAATTTACGTTAAACTAAATGCTTAAACTATGGATTAGTTTCGGCCGCAATCACTATTCACAACGTCTAGATAAAAATCTGTTTATTTTTTATTCAAGTAATAATGATTAATCAACCATTTTTCAAGTATTAAAGAATATTTCTTGGTTTATGTATTTCTGGGATTAAGGTGAGAATAATGATCCAGGATATTGCTTCAATTTACTTTCTCCTTCCTTGTTAATTTCTTGAGAACATCATGATGATTTTTCTTTTAAATATTACAATTAAAATTTTATTCTGTTATAAAATCTGGTCAGTCTTCTCCATTCAAGTTATTTTTACATGAATAAATAAACCAATCATGATTAGGAATTCATATTTTTTTGTGTATAGGTTAGGATGATTTAGAGGATTTAGAGGATTTAGAGGATTTAGAGGACATACTAGTTTTTGATAGAGGGAAAATTTGAGTCCAGTTCAACTTTTTTAGTTAGTCGTTCCACAGATTTTAGACCTGCCACAAATATCTTTGTTCATTGATTGGTTGGCTCGATTTATATTTTGATTCTAAATAATTATTTTTGATTTGTGATATAGATCTTTGATCCCTGAAATTTCCTTGTGATACAATTGTTGCAGTATGCACAAAGAAGCAAATTGGAAATTAGAAGAAATTTATTCTAGTAATCTGCAACATCATGGCCAATATGGAAAAATTAATCGGGATCCGTTTATCTTTTTAATTGGACATTTACTTTAAAATACACCGAATATATCGAGTGTATTAAACCAATTATATCTAAAAATTCGAAAAATAATAACAATCATCTTGACTTTTACAATTCAAAACAAAAACACAACATGTAAATGGGCTTATTTACATATACATTATATAATATAATAAATATATTAAATAAAATGAATATTTAATGTTCATTCATTTTTTTTTAATTATCAGGATCAAAATTAAATAATCAAATACCTGGATAATGTGGGAACAAATATCCCAATTTGATTTATGTGCATCTCGATATACCAATCTGCCTTGAGATTTGGAATAACATTTCTTTCAATAGATACTTTTCGGGTTATTAAAATATTGTATTAATAATGCATTTATAAAATTAATTTATTAGAATAAATAATATGTTATTAGAACTATTACCATTCTTTGAACAACAATCCAATAATACATGTTCACTACATTTAAGATAAGATGTAACCAATTATATGTTTCATGAACACGATCTGCTGATCCGGTTGATTCTACTGATTCTACTGACTTGGTAAATTCTGCCGATGCAATTGATTTGGGACGTTTTCCTTTTCGAATGGTAACGTATGTATAATTTGACTCTTCATAATTCAAATACTTCAAATTTCAATCATTAATTTGGTTTGTAAACTTTCCAATTACGATTGGAGAATATCTTTTCAATGAATTACAAAATAACCGGGTCGATTTATTTTTTGTGGAAAATGGTAGCAATTTTTTGAATTTTGCAAAGGCCATTGACCATCATGTGGTCACTATAATCAAATAATTCATGTAAAAATATAAAAATCTATGTAAAAAACTAAAATAATAATAACTAACTCAACATGTGCACAAATATCTTTATCATCTTCTTTAGTTATCGAATGAATTTTAACCTTTTTGAATTTTTGAATCTTAACCTTTTTGAATGTAATTGAAATTTTTAAAATAATTTCTTTGGTCTATTTTTCGTTATAACCTTTCTTTAACGCTTCTTTGATTCTAAGGGTATATTTTTCGTCGTAGCCTTCCTTGAGCGCTTCTTTGATTCTAAAAGTATAGTTTTTAGTTATAGTTTTCCTTGAACACTTCGTTGATTTTAAAAGTATAATTTTCTTCATTGCCTTTCTTGAACACTTCTGTATTCTAACAGTATAGCTTTTAGTCCTAACCTTTCTTGATCTCTTGTCCCTTATCCTTTACTACTCTCACTAGTTATTCTCAAGGTACAGTTTTACTTCGTTTGCTTTTTATCTCCGGAATTTTATATCTAGGCTTCTTCACCATTAATTATATAGTATAGTATTTACCCTCCCTTTCGTTCGGTGACTATGGTGTTAATGCTTCCTTCCATCTTTATCCTTGTTTTCACAGGTAATGTTTTTCTTACCACGTATCCCGTTTCTTCCACTTTAAAATAGTATGTATCTTAACTTCAGCTTTTCAGCCGAAAAACTTAATTCCAATACTATATATGTCTATACAGGTTCGTGACTATAATCTCTTCAGCAAAAAATATGAGGATCCGTTTGCAAATTATAGTCCTGTCGTCGTCGCCAAAATGCGAGCGAGTAAATTCCAGTTACCAACTCGTGATGTGTCCAATAAATATATATATAAAGCATAAAGTCCAATAATTATAAAGTTTCTTCGTCTCTGCACACAGCTCAGAAGCCTTCTCAAAATACTCTATTGCGCAATTCCTACTGTAGTGCTAATGCTAAGCACTACCGGCACACAGCCTAAGATGATAAAATAAAAAAAGAATATATACAAGAAATATTTACAACTATACCGCTTGAGGTGTCCCTACAAGCAACATAGAACAATCAAACGGGGTTTTTCCTAACTAATGACTAAATGTTGGCCAGACCACTAACTATCAGAGAGGATCATGAAACAATTCACAATGGCTTTTCCTCTTAACTATGCAAAAATTCGTAATGTGTTTATTTAATTATTAACAACGGGGGGGGTAATTATTCAATTGTTATATGTTATTATGAATGTTATATTCAATATTATCCCTCTAACTTGGTAAATGCAATAAATATTACTCAATATTAATCATTTAGTAAATTTCGATTTTGTTAAATTTCAATAATTTATCCATATTTTATCCATATTGAATTTAATTGATGAGCGTGATTATTAATGATGTATTATGATGTTGTTAAATTATGATGTTGCTAAATTTCGATGTTGCTAAATTTCGATGTGATTAAATTTTGATAATTTACTGAGGTGTTGCATATCAGCATAAACACAAACATAGTTGAGGAGTATATAGATATTCAGTACTGCACTCTTTTGCATTACTGTACTGCATGGTCTAGATAAATAGAAATTTTTTTAAAAAAGTCATACATCAACATACAGTACACAGTACCCCACCAATCAAATGGACTCTGTACTTGTAACATTTAATACAGAAATGCTGATTTGCAGATCATACAGTGCAGGAATGCAAAAGTGTACAGTACTCAATGTCTACCAACTGATAGTTGAGCACACACATAAAAAATCATATATGTGGATTTTCTTTGCTGATCAATAGATGTATGTAAAATATAAAAATTCAAACTCTATCTCCTCATTATTTATCAAATAAAACTCCATTTAAAATTAATATATAGTACTAAATAATGAATACTTCAACATAATAGCTTTATTTTTTTTAATTTTTTGTTTATAAAAAAAAAGTTATATGCAAAAAAAGGTTTAAACAAAAATAAAAAATTCTTTTATTAAAAATCTATAGCCATTAAGTGAAAGTGTAAGTTTCAAGCTTTTATTTGATACTATTTTTATAATTGTAGGTGATTTTGAAATTTTCATAGAGATTTATTAGATTACAGTCAGGATTATTACCAAATATGGAATTACCAAATACTGTAAGGATAGACAATCTAGAAATCTTTTAGAAAAAAAACAAAACAAAAATGATTGGCTAATTTTATGC